TTCACGAGCTTTGGTTGCGGTTCTTTGAACCTCTTATTATCATTCTTTGAACCAATTTTCAACCAAATCGAACTAATGACATTGGTGACCAAAGCTTAACTTTTACGGAATCATTATCAATTCTCACCCCTTTCAATCCTCAATAAAGTTGACTCACCAATTTTTCCTTTTTAACTAAGTAATATATCTATATATGTTGGTAGGAACGGGAGGTGCAAGTGCAATTCTAATTCTTACTATAATAACTTACAGGTAATAAGTTAAATCATATCAACAATAAATTTACATAAATTTTTAAATTCATTTTAAACCCATAGCATTACAATCACAATGACAAATATTATGTAAATAAATTTAAGTAAAAGACATATTCTACTCTTAAACAACATTAAATCACCACACAACAACTTCAAGTCCGCAATCTCCGAGTAATAGCAACTCTTTCTCTTGTTTTTTTCGATTATAGGCATCATTCTCAACTTTGACGGTTTCCATTTCAATCAACAGTTCCTCATTCTCGCTCTTGATGCAAGAATTCTCACTTTTTAAGTTACAAATCACCTCATTCAATCTCAAATTATTTGCAACCAACTTGTAATTCATCGCATGTATTTGTTTTTGCCAATTTCATAAGCCTAAATTAATCTCTTTAGCTCGCAATCTAAATCATCCTTAAACCACACTTTGAAACTATAGCCAATATTTTTTCATTCTTTTACATTGAATCGCAGTGAGCAAACATTAAATCTAAAACCCGGGTGTTCATCATTCCAAGACAATACCTTCACTCGTTTTCATCCCATAGAAACATATAATCGATGGTTCTTCATCACGTGATTGTAATTCTTGATCACCAAGTGCACATATTGACGATTGTGATACATCCGAATGTTTAGACGATGAAGATGATGTGGATGAAGTTATCACGTCTTCTTGTATTGCGAGACACTCGCAAAAGACGAACGAAAGTTTCAATTTAGGGATTTCAAAAATTAAGGATTTGGGATTTGGGAATTTTTAAACAATTGAACTAAGAGAACCGGGGATAATTGGAATTGCCGAATAATGGAGAAGAGATGAGTTGCAATTTACAAAGAAAATGAGAGAATTATGGTAGATTTTGCCGGATAACTGAAGAAGAAGGAAAGGTCGGGAGTTTAGGGATTTTGATACAACGTAACAATTTGGGATTTAGGGATTTTACCAAATAATATGTTAGGGGTATTTTTGTCCTCTTATTTTTATTTTTGTAAAATAAAAAATTCTTATTTTCAAAATTGTTATATTTTTTTCCAAATTTATAAGTTTTGGTTTTCGAATTATAATCTCGCAACTAGGATTCACATGTCCATGTGTCGGTCTTCGATTGGTTATCATCATTTAAAAAGTGCCATGCGAGATTTACGGTTAACGGAAGGTCTCAATCAACAAATTTATAAGAGCACAAGATTTCAATTAAGTCTGTAAAGTATTAGAGAGTCTCAATAAAAAAAAGTTAAAAATGTGCAAGGACCAATTATGGGGTAAACCCTTTAAAATATATGTTTGTGAATACATATTAAGAAATCAATTGAACCTAACAATGGTGAGAAGTATTGGTCTAAGATAGATAAATAAGAGGTCATGGCTCCCGATATTGTCAAACTATCCGGGAGTAAAAAAAGAAAAGAAAAGAAAAGAATTTTAGAATAATGGGAATCATCGAATAGAGTCAACATATCCAAAAGAGAAAGGAAGTTGACTTGTAAAATATGCTTCACAAAAGGTTATAACAGATTGACATATCTTGATAATCCTAAGAAGAAAATATAATTATTTTATAATTTTTTGTAATCGTTGTATTTTTAAGATTTTTCATCTCATATAATGTTGTAGAGTTGATTAAATCTTGTTTACAAGATATTGATGATGCTTCGGTTCGGGATTAGCACCTCCGGACCAGTCGATGTTGTGATTAAACATAGGCCATATTGAAGCTCGTTTCACACTTCGATTTTATTATAGTTGAACCAGTTTTAACTTTTCGTGTAAAATTTTTTACATGATTTAAATTATTTGGTTTTTTTGTTGTGTTTTTATTTTGCTAATAATCTTATGTGAAATTATTTTTATATTCGGAGGAAGGAAAAAGTAAAAGTTGGAGATGCATCTTCTCGTAAGAGAAAAGGAAATGATGCTCTCGTCAAGCTGGATAAAGAAAAAATTGATGATGGTGGTGATCCAACTTTGAGGAGTAATAAGGGCAAAAGAAAAGGGTAATGATGCTATAACAAAACAAACTAGTGTTGGAACAAATAAAAAGAAGGATGCTACAATAAAAAAATAAGGAAAAAAATCTCAAACTGGAGTTGGATGTTTTGTAGCTAAATGCGGTTTCTCTAGATACGTTACTAGTGTCTTATATTCAATCATAAATGTTCTAAAAAATAAGAAACCAAAATTAGATTCTTTCGAAGTCAAAAGATTCACAAGATCACGGATTGCAAAATAAAATGATACTACTAGTGGTTCCAAAAAAATTGATGTTTTGAGAGGAGTTTTGTTTTATGTAATGAATATTGCAAAATTTTCTTTAGTCTTAATAACTTTGAAGAACGATTTGATTTTAATATTTGATTTCAAATGTCTCTGTTTGCATAATTTGTCCGAATAATTTCGTTTGCATAATCAATGCCATTTGTTTGTTCAAGTTCGGTATTGTTCTTACATGTGTTTTGCATACTTTAGAATTATTTGACTTAAACATCCTTGAAAAGTTCGGTTTATGGTGTTTGAATTGGGCACAAAGCAACAAAGACCAGTCTCATAGTAATTTAGAATGAGAAGGAATTCTAGGGTTTCAATGTGAGGTCTAACTATTAAGCGATAAATCAACCTTTAGTATAACTAGTCTATAAACATTTTTTCACTAAAAGCACTCAAAAGTCAAACTTTGTATTGGATTCAAAGTATGGATGCGATGTCGAGCTTCGAAATTATTGAAAAAATTGTATAAACTTTTTTAGATAGAGTAAGGTCACATCTTTTGTTTTTTTCGACTCATGATAATGCTATATTATAGTCAACATCTTCTCTTCCTTTTGTATCGAATCGAAGTGGGCAAACATTAAATCTAACACATGATTGTTCATCACTCTAAAACAATACCTTCACTGTTTTTATCTCATATAAATACATAATTGATAATTCTTTATAGCATGGTTTTCATTCTTGATCACTAAGTGCACATATCGATGGTTGTGATATATCCGAATGTCTACACAATGAAGATAATGTGGATGAAGTGGTCATGTCTTTTTGAATTGGGATAAGACACCGTAAAAGATGAACAAATGTTGAAATTAGGGATTTCAAAAATTTAGAATTTAGGATTTTGAGATTTAAGGATTCAACAAAAGCATAATTTGTGTTGGGTTAATGGAATTTAGAGTTGTTTAGGAATTTAGAGATTATGGGATTTAGGGATTTTGAAACCAAGGAAATGGAAGAATCGGGCTAAAGCTAAAAAATTATCCCCGAAATTGAGAATTTGCGATTTTAAGATTTAAGGATTCAATAAAAGCATAATTTATGTTGAGTTAATGGGATTCGGGGTTTTTTAGGGATTTAGGGATTTTGAAAAAAAAAAATAGAGAGAGAGAATCGAGGCAATTGAGATTGCCAGACAAGAGCAAAAAATGGAGAAAAAAAGAAGAGTCGAGTGGTATAATATACATGAGGGCATTTTCATCTCTTTATTTTCATTATAATAAATTAAACATTAGTTAATGTATAAATCTTTTAAAATTTATTGGTGTATAGTTTTAGATTTATAATCTCATAATTGAGATTTATATTTTTACATGTTAGTTTCTTATTAGCTACCAATATTTTTAAAATACCACATCAAATTCACGGTTAATGAAAGGTTTCAATTAACAAATTTGTAAGAGTAAAGGGTTTCAATCAAGTTGAAAATCGTAGAAGGTTTTAATAAAAAAAATTGAAACTATAAAAGGATTAATTACAAGGTAAACCTATCTAGATTTTTAGTCAACGGCTGCCCCCTCAACACATCTTAATCTAGGGAGGATTCACTTTGAACATTTTTATCCAAGAAGAATTCATTTGAAGCCATTATTCCCCGTACACACACATTATGTCAAAATATTTTATTTTTATATTGAATCAATTTGAAAAGAAACTAAAGTTAAAGGATTTATAAATAGATAATGTCGATTCACTATCCAATTAAAAGGTTATTTTTTATATTTATACGTAATATAGGACTAAGTTCATCATTTTTTTCGATTAGATCAATGATGAATCACATTTGTAATTAATCCATGTCTAGTGTCATATATATATAAAAAAAAAAGAATAATTTTTTAAAATGAGGATTGAACTTTTAACTTCATGAGTTAGAAATATTTTTGGTATCACTTCATTTATAACATTCGCAGTCATGACTCGTGTTATAAATAATAACTAGCTCATTCTCTTATAAATAATATACAATCGAGTTCGTTAGCTTGACTAGACTTTAAAATTAATATACTATCATAGGTTTGGTTGAATTTGGTTTTTTTTCTTTTTTTTTTGTTAGTGTTGAGTTACATTTCATATGGATAGTATTTATTTACTCTCGTGTGGATGATCCTCGGTTATAATTCAACAAAACAAATTTAGAATCAATTCAATCGTAGACTTTTTATTTTTTATTTTTTTAATTTTTAATTTTTTTTTATAATCTAGAGGTGTCCAGGCTAGCTTACGCGCACCTCGACCGATCTCTAGGCCCACCGAACATCCTGCAAGCCAAGTGGGCGGGTAAGGCACCGCAGGAGTGACGGACATACGTAGAGAGAATCGAATCCGAGTATCATCGATGAGCAACCTTCAACCTTACCTTCAACCTTATAGCTTGGGCTGCAACCTCAAGCGCGTAGACTTTTTATTTGGAACGTGAGGACATTGACATTTCATTTAAGGCGATATTTTGGTCAATAACCATTGCCTAGAGCGACGTGTGATTGCGAAGGGCGGTTGAATCTACCTTGGTCAATTCATCGCAGACAAAACGCTAAGCTGGTTAGCTTCCACGATGAAATTTTTGTGGTGATTTCCTCACCAAAGGAAAATGCTAATTGCGGGTTGAATGCTTCTAAACTACTACTCATCTTTGCCTCCGAAATCAAACCTTTGGTTCAGCACAACATCCATGGCATTAACAAGGACACAACATATCTTGTTGTCCTCATCTGATCATAGAACCACAGAATCATCAGTCAACATTGGAAGGTGTTTAAAAGGAGATTGGCATTTCCTCTTAGTTTCATGGTTCTTAAGCTGGTAATGGCAATGCAAGACTTTATGGCTTACCATCAAACTACTGAAAACTACTTTTTATTTTTGTTTATAGTTGATTTGGTATTTTTGAAATAATTTTTATATCAATCAAAATTAAATTTATTATTTTTTTCAATTTAGTTATTACCGAATTATCTTTAACCTTTGACTGATTATATAAGTACCGAACTCTTTTAAAATTGAAAACTGCTATAATGTGATGACCGATTAGCCCATGATTCTGTAATACAAACCCCGGTTTGCAAATTTGCAAGCGTGACTGCAAGTATTGATCTTAAGAGTTGATTCATTGTTACTGGATTAAGAATCTCATAATCAAACACATTGAATGCATCTTTTTACCAACATTTTTTTATATGATATATTTGCCGACAGGTGACAAGGATTCATATTATTAATCTTCACGTAGACAGTGTTGATATGGTGGGAATACAGGCAAAGTATTTTATATGATGTTGTTCTTTTCTGGTCGGTCTTTCTTCCATGATTTTACATCAATCAAATGGAAATTAGAATGATAATTTTTTTTTTCAACTCCTTTGGTTGCATAAGCAGATCCGCATGACACCTCCTGTCATAATATTATTGCAAGATTCTGCGGCCAGGCTGCTTGAAAGAAATGTAATGATATAAGAAAATGAAGAAAAGGAAAGGAAGAAAAAATGGATGGTGTGCATTGCAGTTAACATTTTTAAAATAACTATATTTGAAAACGTCCTCTTCAGTCTCCTCAGCTGGAGAGTGAAAGGTGGTGGTTAAACTATCAAAGCTACAGCTTGTAGGGCAAAGGTTTGACCACACGCCCATAATATCATACCTGCTCCAGTCAATTGAGAAAGACCGAATAGAACCATGGATTCAAGAATCAAACAAGAAATAGGGTTTCCTTGTGTTTCAATTAACTCCCAAAAGTCAAAATAGAATTGCGAGTGGAAAAAGCTTATGCTTACCCATGGATTTCTCCGAAGTGGATTCTGTAGCATTGGTTGATCAATCATGCAACACCATACTTTTAAATCAAAATTCTGCATCAATTTTTCACTAACTTGTCACCGTCACCATTCAATAAATGTTACGAAGGAATAACTTCTGAATTAGGATTTGTTTCCCCGGATTAACTGCATTTTCCGTAGATAACTGGTTTGGAAAACATTCTGAAGCTAAGCAATCATTATGCAAAAATCTTCCATCTTTACCTTCCTTCAGTGGGTCTACTTCAATGTTTCCTTTATAAGATAGAACAATTATTGACATAATTAATCGATGTTCAAAGAACAGGGTTTACTTAGCGCACCACAAAAGCACGCGGCTCGGAATAAAGGATGCTAGTTCCTCCTGTTCTATTGATGGACGATCCATTTTTAACCTACCATCATCAAGTAATTGTAACTACAAGTTTCAGATTCAGACGAGTGGGAAGAAATAAACTGCAGAAAAATGAAACAGCTGAAGGAGTTCTTCAGGTTTCTGGTTAATCAAATTTGTAGTCCAAAATATCCAGGTACATTGGAACAATTCAAAACATGAACCATAAAGGAAGACCAGTCTTTAATGTCCCACAGATTGTTCACAGGTATATTAACGGGTTTTGGAATATGTGCCTCGTAAAGATCGTGCCAGATGAGCTTACAAATATAGGTACAGAAGGTCGTGCAATGTTGAGCAGTGGAAATAATTTCGTTCTTGGACCTGAGGAGTACATCACCTGCCATGCTGACTGGAAGGAGAGGAATTTCCTCTCTCGCTTCCAAATTCATTGTCTTCCATTTCTATCCCATCAGCAAAAAAGGAGCTATTGTTGACACTTGGTTCAGAGCTAGCATTACTGCTTGTGGCAAGAGGAGAGTCCGAAACACTAATTGTCCTGCCTTTTGAGGATCCTCCTGATCTCACACTGTACATAGAGGAGGCAGGAATGTTTGTCATGAGGGGGCGTAAATTACCTGAAACGCTTTGCCTTATATCCTGCTCAAGAGAAAAACAAACCCATTAATGGTTAGCTACATATAAACAAGAGCATAACAAAATCCATGAAATATTGGCTTAAAACTGCTCAATGAATGTTCTCTCTAAGTCAAGGTATGTGTACCATGTGCCTCAAAGCCATATCCAGAGATTTCTTTGAGAGAGTTCTACCAAAGCCTGTGCTATTATGGGAAGATGACTTCCCAGCAGAATTATTGAGGGTGCAGTGATAGTCATCATGCTTTGGTGGTGCCAGTTTTCTCATGTTTACCACTCTTTCAACCATCTTTGTTCCCATTAGCCCTGGGTTCACATCATTACTGCCATTGGTCTGAATTCTGCTCCTTGTAGGAATGGAGATCCGGTTACCTTGTGCATTACCAGTAGGAGCCCTTCCTCTAGAGGGTGAGCGTGATTGTTGTCTCGGTCTTCCAATGGAACCAGCATCAGTGGAAGATGATCGAGCATTTGGACCTCCAGGCCTACCCCTGGAAGCTGAAGCTGGTCGAGCACTTGAACCTCCCGGCCTCTCCCTGGAGGTGGAAGCTGGACGGGCACTTTGACCTCCAGGCCTCTCCCTAGAGGCTGAAGCCGGCCGAGCACTTTGACCCCCAGGCCTCTCCTTCGAGGCTGAAGCTGGCCGAGCACTTGGACCTCCAGTCCTATCACTAGAGACTGAAGCTGATCGAGCACTTGGACCCCCAGGCCTATCTCTAGAGGCTGAAGCTGGCCTTTCTGGCAATGATGTCCTTAAATTTGGTGGAGCATCAAGAGAGAAACCAGGAATCTCTTGAGGTTTCCAAGGCCTAGATTTTACTGTTGGAGAAATGCCACGTGATGGCAATGGATTTTTCAATGTGGCAGGAACCGACTTAGTCACTGAAGAAGACTGACCAGGAACAGTAGCCACACTAGTTGCACTCGAAGGAGTTGATGATTGGCGGGTTGGAGTTGCTGATCTGGAAGTTGCCTTGGAACCAGGAAGAGATGGTCTGGTAGTTGGTGTTGAAGAACGTGCGGTGGTTCTAGTAGGAGTTGAGGATCTCACTGGAGGAGCAACAGACTTCATAGAAGGCAAGGTGGACCGTGATGTGGGTGTAGAAGCTCTTGAAGGCTTAGCTGTTGTAGATAAAGAGGGTCGCCCTGTGGGTGTTGCAGTTCTAGACGCAGATCTTTGTCCTCCAGCCGATGTGGACCTCCTGTTACCAGCACTCATGGAGCTCAGTCCCGATGGCAAAGTTGTCCCCTTAGATGCTACATTAGTTCTTGATGCAGGTTCTTCCTGGATATTTGTCAGCTGCAACACACGGCAAGAAGAATTTCAATCTATAGCATAACAAGCATGCTGCAAATTTGTCGATAACCACATTTAAATTTAAATAGAAGACTAAAACCATGTTTTGATAGGCTAATGAAGGCATGCTTGCGGATGCATAGGATCACACCACACCAAAAAGGTCAGAAGCTTGAAAGCATATTCAAAACTCAAATTGCTTCTTACCCTTGACTTGAGAGCAATGGGACGAGCATTAGACATCCCAATCTGGCTCATTGCAGTTTTCTGCGATTCCATCTCCAAAGAAGGAAAGAGAGGGGTTCCAGGTGGTGTAAGAAGCCTGAACGCAAGAGATCTCCCATTAACATCAAGTTGAGCCAAACATTTATATATACCATGTTACAACAATTCAATACAAATTTAGTGTATGGAAATCCAGGGAATATGTTCAATGCATCTTCATTTCTATGATAACATGAACTGAGTACAAAACCAACTTCATACAAATTTAAAGGTCTTCCAGAAACTAAACTTTCGACATGCCAAGAAAATTTGCAGTAAGTGTTCAAATTGATAGTTTTACCATTAATACTCCTATTCATGTAAAGCCCAATTTTCGGACCGCAAAAAGAATATGATCATGAAATCATTTCAAGCAACAAAAGCCAAGGAAAAGAAACATACTAACATCAATTCGCAAAAGAAAAAAACGAAAGTAGTAATTTTAAAACTTGGAAATTTTAATTGAAAGTATAATATCCCTAATGCTAAATCAACACCCATTTTGTTCAATTTATTCAACACAACTTTAAACTTTATTCTAAGTGCTAATAATTAACAGATAGAAACCAGCACATAATTTTCATTTTTTTTCAAATAATTACCAATCATAATCAGATTTATCATTCTCTGAATCCAAGAACTTCTCAGCAGCAGTCTTTCGCGGCGGCGGCACAATTGACGACAGTAATATCTTCTTAGAAACCGGTGAACCTCCTCCATGACTATTACTTCCTAATCCTGCACAATTTCAAATTAATAAACAGAAGAAAAGAAAGGCAATCAATTCAAGATAAATAACAAAACGACGTCGGATCACCTAAAGGAGCTTCAGGTCCATCTGCCGAGCCGTTAAGAAGAAGATTATTCTTTTCTCTCTCTATTTCCCGTCTTCGCATCTCGAGAAATAGAGTAAGCTCTTCATCTTTCTCTTTCATTACCATCTTTAACTTCAAGAAATTTCTCGTGAACGTTACTGTACACTCACATGTAACCAAGCTCTTCTCTTTCTCTTCTCTACAACTGATCACAGATTACCATATCTCAGTCTCAAAAATTAAAAATAAAAAACCGACTGATATTTCTCATTTCTTCATCAAAACAAACGATTTTTTAACCATAAATAAAAAATTTACAGATCTTGAACTATAATGCAACATTTCTTCGTGTATCCTAATAGAAGCTAGCTGTATACAATTCGATCGAGCAAAAAAAAAAAAAACAGGAAATATTACTCACCTGCAGGTTCATTTCGGCGTGACAAAAAAAGTGGACTTGTCGATGCAGTTATGGCTCGAAACAGAGCTAGCTATCTGCCTGCCTGCGTGTGTTATCGCTCGAAACAGAGCTAGCTGGCTGGCTGCGTGCGGGTGGAAAAATTGTGAGGTTGACGTCAGAATGTAGAGAAAAAGGAGAAGGTGAGGTTGAAGAAGAGGCCGTTAATTTGGTTGTTTGTGTTTGGTTTTGAGTTTTTTTTTTTTTTTTTAATGAGTTTGACGAAGAAGGAAGCCCTTTTTTTTTTCCTCTCTTTTGGCTTTCTGAATTCGGATCATTGTGTTTTTTTTTTTTCTCTTTAAATGCAGGGACAAAGGAACTCAACGGAGGAATTTTCAAACTATCGTAGATTAATGTCCATGAGTTTAAGGATATTCACGAGTAGGCCATTCTCTGGAAAGTAATGTGACCAGCAACCCTATTTATAACTAACTAACTTTTTGATGCATTTATAGAAAGTTTGCTTTAATACTATAATCATCATGCTGTTTGGTTTTTAAGAATTTTTGGGCTTCATTTTCTTTTCAAGAAGATGACAGTCTACCTATAAAAAAAAAAAAAAAAAAACAAGGACAATTCCACTTCTGAACTTTCATTCAAAACTTTAATTAATTTTGCTTTCATTGAAATGATCGAAAGAATAATAATACTACATCTTTACATATTTTTTTTTAAAAAAAATTATTGAATGCAATGTGTGAATTTAAGATTATATATACATGTACATTTAAAATCTCTCATTTATTCCTACATTTTCGATCGTATCTCATTTGTTTTGAAAATTTTTGAAATGTTCAATCTGTTTTTCCGATCAAATTTTTCAATGATAAATTTTTCTAACAAAAATACCTTTTATTAAAATGAAAAAAAAATTAAAATAACATGTCTTTCCACTTCTGAACTTTCATTCAAAACTTTAATTAATTTTGCTTTCATGGAAATGATCAAAAGAATAATAATACTACATCTTTACATATTTTTTTTTAAAAAAATTATTGAATGCAATGTTTGAATTTAAGATTCTATATATATATATATATATATATATATATATATATATATACACACACTTAAAATCTCTCATTTATTCCAACATTTTCAATTATATCTCATTTATTTTGAAAATTTTTGAAATATTTAATCTGTTTTTCTAATAAAAATTTTCAATCATAAATTTTTCTAACAAAAATACCCTATATTAAAATGAAAAAAAAACAAAAATATTTAAAATAACATGACCTATATGTTCCATTTTTTAAGTCTTCATAATTATTTTTTTTTTTTTGTATTTCAATCGAAAACATTTAGATAAAAAAATATTTTATTTGAGGACAAATTGAATATTTCAAAAACTTTTAAAAACAAATGAAACATAATTAAAAATTTAAAAATATATGAAAGATTTTGAATATTATATAAAGATGTATGGATATATTTATCCTATGTAAAAAAAATTTAAATAGACAAATTCATCTCAAATTAAAAAAGCACCAACCTTTAGAAAATTGTTCAACACTTACATGGAAGAATATAAATAACATTTTCATCCGTTTTGAAAAAAAAAAAAAATCCATCTTTGTAAGACTTGAAATAGATTCTTCCAGTAGATAATTCAGAACTCAATGTTTTTCAATTCCTTCTTCAAAGATAAAAAATTTGTAAGAGGAATTGACTCCCACAAAAGGATTTGAAGTTTTCCTCCTCTCCTCTAAGTACCAATAAATATCTCAACAGCCGTCATTAATAAAATGACAAAGTAATCGATCAACGACCAAGATAATGGACTTGAATTTTCTGCGAGGGACATGAAATAACTCAACAGTACAAGTAAGGTTCTACAATTAAAAATATCATTACAAAATTTTAATCAAGATCGAAGTCGAAAAATTCTAATTGCAATGTAAATACGGTATATGAAGAATCAGACTTTTACCTTAATTCCTAAATAAATATCTTATTTTCCATTGTTGATGGTTCAATTTAAGTGTTCAATATCAAAGTCAAAATATAATAATTACATACTTTTACTTGCTTTTTTTATTTTTCTTTATTATTTTTCAAATTTGCTAAAGATAAGAACATTGAACAATACAAATAAAAATAAGGTAAAAGTGAAATAAAAATTTTCAAACAAAAACCATTATATATTTATTTTTTTTGTAATCTTAATTAGGACATTTATTTAAGAAATGGGAGAAGACATTTGATGAAAAGGAGAAAAGTCGTAGAAGTATATAAGTTTATAAAAAGACAAGAAAATTCTAATTTATAGAAATATATATATATATATATATATAAAGTCATAATGTTTAACAACGAAGCATTGTATTTGTCCCACATCAATAAAATATAAACGTTATAAACGTTATATATATATATATATATATATATATATATATATATATATATATATATATATATATATATATATATATATCGTATTTTCATGTGTTTTTAATTATGAGGGTGTTTTTTTAATTAAAAATATAAATAAAAAACAAAATAAAGCATTGCATTGCATTTGTTCCACGTCGGTAAAATATTATGTTGGATGTTATAAATGCAATGCAATTTTACACTTTGTAATGTAATAACCCGGAAAAAAAATATTTCGAAGCTAGTATAAATAAGAGTAGTAACTCGCTCTTATTTTTCAGATTTTCCCTTCTTTCTCCTCTCCCTCTCTCACGTTTTTCGCTCCCAAAATCCCTTCTCGATTTCACCTCAATTCCTAAGCTTAAGAGAAACATAAATTAGTTGGTTTAAGAGAATTATAGCTAGTTTGGAATCTTGGAAAGCTAGGAAGAAATTGGGATTGGAGGAGCTTAGTGTAAAGGTAAGAATTTTGATCCATTAATCTTGGAATTCCGAAATTTATATATAGTTAATGATGATATTGAATTGAGATTGCTTTGGGTTAATGAATTGCTTAGACTCGTGGTTATAGTTCTTGAGACCCATTTGGGGGGAAGTTTGATTGAGTGATCCTAGATGTTTAATTGTTTTGGATAATTGAATTAAGATTTGAAGTAAAATTGATTGAATTTGAGAAATTGAGAGGTTGAAGATGATGAATAGTGACAAATTCGAAAATTGGGGAAAATGAGAAATTAAGCTATATACATGCAATCCAAGATTAATGAAATGAGTATTTAGTGAATTAGAACGTAATAGATCACTTGAATTGAAAATTCATGATTAAATTAAGAATTGGTGATGATGAGATTTAGTGAGCTATGGATTAGAATCAATTAAAGGATTATAGGATTTAGTTAGATTATCGAATTGAGTCTTTCCTATCAATTCTATTTTGTTCGATAATTTTATATGCTTTCTTTCATCATTTTGAATTATTCCTTGAGGTAAGATATTGATGGATGCCCCATCATTTGTGATGCTAGATTCTTTAGAGCGGACGACTCCATCACAACCTTAATTCCATTTGGTTCTTCAATTGCACTCGTGAGTGGATATTATATTGTATACTATGTTTTACATTTCTTGATTATGTTCATTTATGCATCATTGTTTATGAATGATTTATAAGCAATTTTATTAGAACCTATATGGAAACGAGACACCATAAATTTTGAAATGTTTTCGTTTCAAAATGATTTGGTACGAATTGAAATGAGATTGAATGTGTAAATGGATTTAACATGTGTTTTCGGATTTGAACATGACTATGTTATATTCATTATTTTGAGTATATGAGTATTTTATGAGAATGCATGCATGGTATTTGAAACATCAATTTAAAAATGTATAAGTGTATTTGGTTTTCGAAAATGTTTTTGAGACCTCATGGAACCTAGCTACCGGGAGGTAGCCTTTGACTTTAAATGATACGAGGCTCTATCTAATAGAAGAGGTGTAGTGTAAGACCATATGTCGGCCAACATGCGAAAACCTAGTCACGGGAGGCATGATTTTTATGTGTTCGTACCCAATGATATGTTATTACCCTATAGGTGTATAAAACCTATATATGTGTTTTAATATGAGTATGTATAAAAAAATGTTTGATGATTTGATATGAAATGATTTTGAACTATTTGATTTATGATATGAATTGTGTTTTCGATATGCATATGTTTTGAGAAATGAGCATGGATTTGAGAACATTGTCTATAGTCCATTTCCCTTTCCGAATACATTATATAATGTCTAGTCACCGAGCTGTGGTTTACTTACCCCTCATTATTTTAGCTTTACGGGATATTAAGGGATTAGTTATTGCTTCCTTTTGGCTACTTTTTATGAAGTCGACACTTTGGTCGTTCGATCGACCTTCATTGTAATTCTTTAGAACCTATGTATGTTTTGATGTGCTTTATCTTAGATGCTCTGTAATTCTAGCTATGGGTAGAATATTAAAATTTGATTAAGAATATTGATCTTGGATATTGAAATCAGAATAGGATGGAATTCATGAGATGTATTTATTTTGAAAAAATATATATTAAGTTATGATTATGTTGATATTTAATGATAATTTGAGTGATATTAAATTGAGGACTCTAGTACAAGTCCAATTATGATTTAAGGTTTAGATTAGTATCTCGAGGCTTACTTAGATTGAGATAGGACTCACAATCCCTTTGGCCCTCGTATCGGTCATGGCCCACTCTCGAGGTCGTGACAAGTGTTAGCATCAAAGCAT